CTTTATTGGAGTCATGCAAATCACTGCTATCATCACATGTAATGTCAATGTCTGATTCCTCTGCCAATGCTTATTTCCTCAGGAAGAATCTCTTCAAATTTTGCTTTACTTTTGCTGTCCAACATGATTTATTGAGCCAAAGCAAGTGGGACAAAAATCATGAATTTCTAAAAAAAAAAAAAAAAAAATTTCTAATCACAGCACAACACTTTTACAATACCATTTTGTTTAATGATATTTGTTCATTTATTAGCCAGTACTTCTAGTTGATAATGTGTTGAGTATTAATACTGTGTATTGAAATACAGTGCTACCTGATTGTTGGTGTATTTAGGCACTCTTGGATTCTATGTATAAGAAACTTGTATGTATATTTGGGTACTTTCAGCCTTAAAGGCTCAAAATCATTATTTTTTTTTTAATATTATTTAATATTTAAATTGTTTTAGAGATTGAGAGAAGAGGATTGATGAGGGATAATATACACCGATATTGAATCATTTATCAATTTAAAAATGATTTATGTATTAGAAAATGTTTTACCAGGTGACTTTACAAAAATCAAGATATCTTTTTGCATGCAAAACGTTTAAGCAAACAACATATATATGGGTTATTCATTTGATCAGAATATGCATACTTGAAAGCTTTTAGAAATAATGTTGTATCCAGATAAATATATCCAGAAAATATTCAGAATAGGTTGATTAATACAGAAAATATACTTTTGTAGTTTATCTCCAGTAATCTATTTTATCATGAACTATACTGTTTGGGTAAATAAAAGTAATATATGTTTTGTTTAATATTTGTCTATTAACTGTTATATAATAATGAAACTAATTTGTTAGTAATATGACATCAACTCTTAACATTTTGAGAATTAAATGTGCAGTAGTTGTTTTGGTAAATCATATATAGTAATTTCTTTTATGTAATATAGAGTAGCAAATTCTCCGTGATACGGAAAAAAAACATGGACGTAAAATAGAAAATGAAAAACACAGAAAATGAGATTTTACTATTAAAAAATAAAATGTTCCAATAGTAAAATATAAAATACCTGAGCTGGAACTTGACAGAATCATTATTTTGCAAAAATTTGCAATACACGGTGAAGTCAGTCTCTTATATGCAAGGGCTACGATCTATATTGCTGCAACATGTCATTCTATAAATAATATGTGGTATTTTCCACTAATGATTCGGTGCTATAACATAATTCCTGATATTAACCTGGCCAAACTGGTCACCACTGGTCAAATACCCACGTGCAATATTAGCATATGAATAGTGTGGCATGCGCTGTCAAGGGTAGTAAAAATAAAAGTTGTTGTCGTTGTTTGTTTAGTAATTAGATTTTTAAATGCTGGTTTGATTATCTTTCCCAATGAGTAAATGAAAAGCTAGCAAACTTGGTGGGTACACACTTTTGGCAAAATACAAAACTGAAAAGCCAGCGTTCCTTGATGATTTTTATCATGATGGTGATAAATTACTTTTCAGTTTTTGTTAACACACTGTAGACAGGACTCAGATGGACACGCTTGTGGATCATCAGAATTTGCTGAAGCATAAAAAATTAAAGATGTCTATATAAGTAGGCTATATACTTGTATATATTTGTATATTTTACTCTTTACACATGTCTCTGTTTTTGACATGTTTTTATGATTTTGAAACAAAAATGGAAAACTGAGATTTACTGTCACTGAAGAACATGAAATTTGACGTTTTAGAATGTGGAGAACTTGCCACTTTAATGTAATATCTATTGATTTGAAGAGCTACAAAACATGCACAATTTGGCTTAGGTCCTTGAACTTCAGTGTTATAAATGGCAAACAGAGGTGCCAAAAAAAAAAAAAAAAAAAAAATAACAAGTTCATGGTTCATAAATTGTGATTATTAATGATGATTATTTAAACTTATTCCAATTATTTAAACTTTTCCAATACTTTGGACACTTTAAAACAGCTCTTTGTTCAAATTTGAAATCCATTTTCCTTTTGGATGAATGGGTATTTAGTATTCTCATCCTGTCACCTGCTGATAAAGTATTTCAGAGCAAAACATTTTTCTCTACTTTTGAATTAGTTCTTCTCTGATATTTACCAGTTTTTTTTACCTAGTTCAAGTGATCAACTTATATATTCTCAAATGCAGAGAGTAATCACAAAAATGTAGTTGTATGCTAATATGATAATAGCTCATTGAAGATTCAAGAAATAGTTTGCCTTATTTTATGTCAAGTTAAACACTAGAATATGGACAGAGAAATGATTTTAAAAGATTAGATTATAATATTTACAACTGGAAATGTGTACAAGCTCAGTAATCTAATCCATTTCACACTTGTGATGATATTTTTATTTTATGCAAGATTACCAGAATATAACCTGGTAATAAGCCCATGGATGGAAAATAATTTTATTATTAATAAGCTTGGCATATGCAATGGACTAACTGTTAGAAGTGACTGAGTTTTCTTTTCACTAAATGAAAATTGATAAGGTTTCTTGATATTTCTTGTTGAAGTGGAAGTTAATGTTTCATTTATTATTCATTGGAGTGAAATTAGTGAAACATTATGCAGGTGAATGGAGGTGTTATTTATTTTACAAGATTTTATAATCTCCAATAGTCTTTGTTTTTAGTACTTTTTTGTATTTTCCCATTTTTATTTAATTTGTAATATTTATAGAATAGTTATTTTCCAATTATATGTAGTTTGGGACTAAAATTATTTTAAAAATGCTTGTAAATATAGATATGAAATTTGGAGATGAAAACTTAAGCTGATGTTAAAAAAAAAAATGAATTAAAAAGTTTTGTTTTTTTTTTTGTAAAAGTTATATTATTTTAGAGAACAGTTTAATGTGTTTAAAAAAAATTTCAAGGTTATATAGTGTTTAAGTGTAAAAAATTGAGATGGTGAGGTAGCAAAACATCAGTTATTGTTTTTTTTCTTACCATTCTTTTCATAATTTCTTTTCTCTATTTTAGTTGAAAAACAGATATTTAATGAGTTGAAACAATTGTATTTATTTGAGATATGTTTAATGAAGCCAGGATGCATAGGTATTAAATAAGAATTATTTTATTGTCTGATTATTTGTGATGAAACTAAAATACCAGACTACTTTCATTTAAAGGTGGTGATTCCATTATTTTTGTCTGAAGTTATAGTAATTGGTTGTTAAATTCCTATTTTTGTTTCATGTTAAGCTATAATGATAATCACTAATCAGAGTGAACCTGTTTAATTTCTGTTATCATTGGCCACAAAGTAAAATTATCAAACATGTCCCCGAAAGGCAAAGCTATTAATGGAAAGCATTTATAAAAAGAAACTTATATTTATCTATTTTGTTTAATTTTTCATTTTATCTGTAAAATTAATAGCACAAATTTTTATCATTAACAGTATTAGTCTTCTTAAAATATTCAGGTCATACATAAAGATATTTTTCCATTTATTTAAATTCTAGTTAATAGTTAAAATAATTGTTATTAAAATATAAACAATTTAAATAAGGATATTTAATATATAAATAAATATATATATATAAGGATAATTAATAGGTTCATTTTTGGTTTTATATCCAATCTCAATAATTGTGATGCCAGCTTTTGACCAAGTCTCTTATTCAATGTTGCTTGATACATGTTTTATGTTTCATTGTTGAGAAGAATCTGTAGTTAAAAATATTGTTGTTGTTGTCAAGTAATGAACTAAACTTTTTGGCTTGTATTTTTAAAATATCTTGAATTATGTATATATAAATACCAGCTTAAAAACTGCCCTATCAGGCGGCATTTTAGCTAGCTCTAGCAGAGGGCTCTTGATTGGGTCTTCATCACAACAGGTAGGGAGGAGCAGATGTCATAGGCAACAATAAACTACAGAAGAACTCAAAATTGATATCAGCATTTAAGTATTGCATTAATATTTAAGCTTACCTTTTAAAAGTTCAACAATAATTCTTTTACCACCTCTTAATTTAAAGACAATTTGGTGTATGTAGGTCCTTACTTTCTATAAAAACAATTTTTATTTCATGGGTGACTTTTGCTGGATCTCGCAATTAATTTCCATTATTTCCAAGTTATAAAACTTGTCATTATACAAAAAAATTTGTTGCAAAATATCATGTAAAAAAAAAAAAAATCGCAGTAATGAAAAATAGGAATCCAAAATTTCAGGATTGCAGGTCTGGATCTGGCCTGGAATGTTTTTAATTTGCTCATGGAGTTGACATTATTCCAAAATGGTGTGATATGTTGGGCCACAGCTTCTAGGAGTAAAGCTGAAAAAGTGTGACACGGTGGTACACTGACATTTGCATTTATTATATATATATATATATATATTAGCTCTGTCTCTGATATTGAGCGCTTTCTAATAAGTACCGCGCATATAATATATAAATAATTATACATACATATATATATATTTATTTATATTTATATACACTTTCACATATATATATACACACACACATATATATATATATATATATATATATATATATATATATATATATATATATATATATATATATATATATATAAAAATTTCTATTTCTGCTTTTAAGTAATAGAATATATATGATGGGATGGTGAAAAATCCTTAGCTTAACCAGGAAACCTTGCTAAATAAATTCTGATGTTTGGTCATTTAGTAAGTTTTTTTTTTTTTTTGGAAGAAGGTTTGGCTGATAATTTTTCAGCACCACCATATATATTCAAGTAAAATTAATCTAGATATTTCTGTATTTCTTGACTATTGCAAACTAGTTTTCTTTAGAAATTTAATTCCTGTTTGTTTTTTGTCTTTCTTATTATCTCAATAATTTTTAAAAGTTAAATGTTTTTACTTTCTAGATCAATGTTAAAGTATAATTTCTTTGTCATAGTTATTTTAAAATTTATTGTAAAATTTTTAAATGAATGAATTATGGAAATCATACAATTATCATAAATGTTTTATTTTTCAGAAGATCATTATGGAACAAATGGTAAGTTTTGCTCAGATTTGAATTTTTTCTATATCTTTTACACACACACAAGTTGCTGGAGAAACGTTCTTGGCTGCAAGAAGAATTACTAGTGTTATGAAGCAAGTTATGTCACATATTCAGGTTGGAATTCAACATTTTTTTTGGCATATTGCTTCTTAAGTTTCCTTAATGGTGAAAAAAATAATTCTAATCCTTGGTTATTGAAATACTGTTTTTTTTTTGTTGGGAAAAGTCAATCAGTTGAGGGCTTTTCAAGCATCCTATATGTGTGTGTGTGTGTGTGTATATATATATATATATATATATATATATATATATATAAATTTAAAAGGTTTAAACTTAAATATTAATGCAATATTTAAATGCAGCGATCAATTTTGAATTCTTCTGTAGTTTACTGCAGGAGCTAGCTTAAATACCGCTCGATAGGGCGGATTTTAAGCTAGTGGCCACTCTGGCAGTCAGGCTTAGCCTGAACAAGTCAACATTCTATTTCAAATCTTTTGTATTGTTGTTTTCATTCTTGACTTGAGCTGGATACAAAATTGTTTTAACTCTGCCTCAAAATATTGCCCAAAATACATTTTATTGATATTGTTCATAATAAAGAAGAAAGAAAGAAAAAAAAAACAAACAAACAAAACAAAGTAAGTAAAAAAAGAATGTAATTAAATTAACTTGGCTATGTCAGGCTGTGTAGATCTGAACCCTTTCAAACTGGAGACATAGGCAATGTATTTCTTGCTTTAATTTGATAAATAATCTTTTAAAAATCTCTGAGTTGCATGTATGCCCTGTTTTTCAAAGAACCTATTTTTATTTCAACTTATTGTTTTCAAATGTTCATTTTAAATAATTTATTTCGTACAGTATAAGATTTTTTTAGTGGTATCAATTGAAAAAAGGGCAAATTAAATTTAGTCCGACTTAGTGAAAAATCAAAGAAAGTAGCAGCCTTAACTTGTTGCCTGGAGAGTTGTGGTGAGGGGTGTTACTGAGGGAAGTGTTGAGAAAATATGATATCAGTCAGCAGTACTGATTACATAAACATGCTAATGCATAGACATATATACAAACATACACTTGAGATAGATACACACATTTTACATGCCTGGAAATTTTTTTAAAATTATATATTTTAGAGTAATGGAATCATTTTACCTTGTCTATTCTTAAAATTTCTTAAATCTGTTCCTTTCCAAAGTATTTCACCTTATTCCTGTAAAATTATGTGATCTTTTAGATGAATTAAACAATATCGAATGTACATAGAATTACCTTTCCTTGATATGTCAAACCGTACTGATAATGGCCTAGAATGAAGTGTCTATCATACTAATAAAAATGATTTCATTAATTTCTATTCTCACCATAACAACAAAATAAAATCTGGAATAATTATTGTATTCTATTCAAGAGCACTCAGATTTGGTAGCCCTCAATATTTAGATGATAATGATGATGAGAAATACATTGAAAATACTTTAAGTTCTTCCAATATCCTAATTATTTCATATTCCACATGAAACAGAAAGCTCATCAAATTTAAAAAAAAAAAATAAAAGAACAAACAATACAAAATTAATGAAACTGGATAAGATTGCACTACCAACCAACTCTATCATAATTACAACTGAAAAGAATTTATTTAAGCTCAATTCAAAATTTGTTATGACGACTTCTAAAACATTAAGAGTCTTATTTAATACAAAACAAAATAACAAAAACCTAAAACCTGACACTGGAGTTTATTCTATAGCCTGTAGTGATTGCTATAAGGAATACAGAAGAGAGACCTTGAGGAATTTAAATAAGATTATATGAACACAATAATCTTTTACAAAACAACATATTTAATGCATTAGTCACTCAACATAATGAGTCTTATAATTTAAAAAAATATGCTACTTTAATTAAAAGAGAAAGCAATTTACTAAGGTGAAAATGTATAAAAACTATACTGATTGCTAAATCATCCACAGTAAATTTGCATCCAGTTTCTTACATTTCACAATTCTTGGTATACCTTCTGATGGACACAAAATGGGATACATAAAAATGAAAAACATAAGCAAATTGAATGTGATCAGCTTGTCCCAGACATATGTGATGAAAAATTAAAACTTTAAAAAAAGGAAAGAAAAAAAAGTTCAATTCAGAGTTCCCACATCATCAGCACTTGCCTTTGCTACATAATTATAACCGATGCTTGCATTTATATCTGCCCCTCACTTTACATATATTTAATTCTTTCGAAAACATTATTTTAGTCTGATGAAGTCCTTCTAGAGGATGAAATGTGTTGCACAAAATTTTTCTGTTTTGTCACTTGGTTATCTAGCATTGTTCTGAGATATATATATATATATATATATATATATATATATATTACTTAAATGCTATTTTTAGTAAATACCCATATTTGAGTAGATGCTCCATTTATTTTAAACAGTATTTATTTTTTGTCTACTGGCCTGAACTTTCAAGAAATCTTATTAAAAAAAATGCACCCTCTGGTGGAGTATATATATGTATAAATGTATGAAAGTCCATCTTTATTTACATTGTTTGGACTGTTGTCCTCATCTTTGTTGTCATATTCACAGTGTTTTGACCATTGTATGCTCTGGCCTTCTTCGGGTGATTAGAATTTTGGACCAAACCTTTATTTCAGCCACGAGGGTAGATTGTTCTAGTTCCACATGCCATGCCTCTTCCAGATATCTCGATTTCAGTTATTTTCCTTAGTAACTCAACTGTCCAAATTTTGTTCACTTCTGCTGTATTGAACTCACAAATCTTTTGGGCCAAGTCACTGGATTACTTCAACCAATGCTTTTATCCACTGGGCATTGGACATCACACATGGGACTAGAGCAGGCTACTCTGGTGGATAAAATAAAGGGTTCACTTTGAAATTTGAATCACCTGAAGAATGCTGGAGTGTACAACAGCTGAAACATTGTGAATATGACAACAATGTAAATAGTGTAAATAGTTACAATATCTTCTTTCAGAAAAATAGACAAGATCAACTTCATTTATTTTCACAAGGATTGAAAGCAAATGTCTGCTTCTGATGCTCAAAAAACACAATTTTAAATAAAAGTAACACTCAATTAAGTTTACAAGATTACCTTGAAAAGTATTCATCATATGGGCAAAATGATTTCTTAAATCATATGCAAATAATGCAGAAAATAGACTATGAAATAAATTGCTAATTTATTCTTAAATACTAAATACACAAGTGTAAATGTAAAAGGGATTTTAATTGACTTCAGGTTTCTTCATTTGTGAGTCTGTTCACGAAAGGACTGTCATCACATTGTGACACTTGGTACTGGCAGAAAAGAGAAAGTTTTGATAAGAATAATGTCTGTATATTTTTACCTAAGTTGTCTTACTATAACAGCTGATTGGCAGGAAGCACTGTGTTATGCTTAAATAGGTCTTCAATTAACTTTAACCAGATATGCTACTTAATAAAGTTGGTACTATAATTCTTGATAAGATTGCTTAGGAATATATAGAATAGGACATGTACTGTATTTGGCCATATAAGACCCATAATCTCAAAACCTAATCACGTAAAGAAACCACAATTAAAATGGTTGCCTCTTATCAAACTTTCATACTAACTTCTCCCTGTAAGAATAGTCCTTCATCTTGAAGGATGAAAATACATATAAAGTAGATTGGTGGCTTTTATGAATTAATTTTTATATGAATATATAAGCATATGAAAGTTAGTGAAAAGACTGGACTATTCAACTTGAAAAATATCTTTTTAATCAAGACTAATAAAATTATTTCCCTTATTTTATGACTAGTTTTAACGAGAAAAAAAAAAGTTAAGTTTCAATTTATTCCATTTAAGGCATTTTTTCTTGTCACCCATCTAGATACTGACTAGGTTTGACATTGCTTAACTCAAGAACTGGTGTTTCAATGTGATATGGTTTTAGCTATATATATATATATATATATATATATATATATTTGAATACTGCATATTTACATGCATTTATGGAGGTGTCTACAATTGCTAAGTTTAATTCTCAAAACAAACTAATATATCATAATTCCTTATCCTGTTTATGATAATATAACATTAAAGTCTTCAAAAACATCAAAATTATTTAAGTAACATGTATTTCTATATAAACAAGCAACATAAAAAATGCTAAACTATTTATCCATAACTAATAGAAAATACAGGGGATAGTGAAAAGTTCTTGGATGAACCAAGAAAAGATTTTACAAAATAATTTTCATTTGGAGTTGGACCAAGAAATTTTCAGTACACCTCGTACATCATTCACAAAACTAATTTATTACCAAACTATTTTGAGATTTTCATTCACACATGAAAACTTCTGTAAAAGTTCTGTGTGTATGAAATTTTGCAGATTTTGAACAAGTCTGTTTTATCTCACATTTATTCTTAGGAATAAATGAAAATTTGATGATATTTTTGAGTCTATTTTTAAAAAAAAATTTATTTGGCCTGAGATTATTAAAAGCTAATAAAGTGTATATTAAAAGAATGATGAAAATTATTATGCTTATACTTAAAACAACAGAAATATTTTCTCACTGAGGCATAACTGAATTGCTAACTTTTGAGCTTGTCATAGAAATATAGAATTTAAATTTTTTTTATACAAAATAATCTGTTTTCTTATTCTTATCAAAAAAAGTATTGGGAATTGAAGAAAGAATTTGTCATTGTTTTGATTATTCTTGTGAACTTTTCCAGCTTTCACTTTGTAGCTCAGGTGAGAATATAATTTCATCAGGCTTTTATCTGTATTGATTTTAATTTTTACGTTGTCTTCTACTTAAATATTTCTACTTTATAGAGATGTATCCAAGAGATATATTTATCCCTTCAGCCTTTGTTTGAAAATAAAACTGTTTCATTAAACAGGGTGAGATGGATAAATTGTCCTCTAAATTAAACAAAAATGAAAATAATACTGACATCTCATTTT